CACGCACACACACGCAGGCGCACGCACACACACGCAGGCGCACGCACATAACAACGGCCGCCTTTGATGTCGGCAACTAATATGCCAGAAAAAAACTCAGTTTGGGGGGGCTGACAGATGAAACGCAGACCCTGCATAATGAGGGGGGGACCCCGGCATTCGGAAGTCAGGAACCCGCTCGAATTACCCGCCGTGTCCCACCCGACGCGTGCGCCCCCTGACAGCTTTCCAGGCGGGCACACCGCATTTCCATACCGCTCGCGCTCTGAAGTACGGGCACGGCACCTTTGATGAGAACGTTAACTGCAGATGCCCCCCCCATCCCACCCCGGCACACCCCCGCCACCAGTTTCGAAACAACAAAGAACGACTGTGAGGGAAACAGCTAAGACCGAACCTGCACCTTATTGCGTACGGATTACGGGATACGTACAATGAGCGACCTGCCTGCTTTGCTGCAGCTACAGGATGAAGTCGCGCTCGATTGGGCAGTGCGATTTATTCCTCGCCCCCCCCCCCCGTATGCACCGTTCTGCGGACGCTAATCATTTCTGGGAGTATTCTTCTCGGAAGACAAATGAAGGTTATTTTAAAGTCTTTAGAAGAAGACGACGCCCTGCGCAGGTCGTGAGCGTGCTGCCCAATGATGGCGTCATACTGTCCGGCAAAGCAGGATACGCCCATGGCTGACCTTCACGTATTCTACTTACTTCATCATTTCTTATCGTATTTCAGGATGAATAGGTCTAATGAACCTTTGAGGCTGCACTACTCCTGTGTCAGAGATGACATCATCCACAGCTGGCTGCTCATTTCGTCGCGGTGAGCCGAATCCTTGGTATCAAAGTGTGTCCTCCCCTACCGGATCTTTCCAGTGGGCTAAGTGGAGAGAGGACGAAATCACCCCCTGGATGGGTCATTACACGGCTGTAGCCAAGAGCTAAACTGGCGAGGGGTGGCGGGGAGGGGTGGAGGGAGGAGGGGGTTTAAAAAGGGGAACAGGTGTGTCTCACGGTGGGGGTTGGACCGAGCCCAGGCGAAATGGCCCGGTCATCATCGCTAACGTTGTTGATCGGCCTCATAATTAGGCCACAGCTTCAATAGGACCTAACTCAGGCCGTATGGGCTGATGTCGTTGCGATTCGGACCCCCTGCGCAGGTGGCAGTCTGTCAGGCCGATAGCCTGCTAACACAAAACCAGCAATTTCAGAGTTTCCATCTCGGCATGGTGTGGCGTTAGCATCCTTCTGATAGAGCTGCACTTTTGTCCACATCGAAAGGACTGAGAGGACTCAAGGAACGGACTAGATTAGGTTTTTTTCATAGAAGACATACGCATTTAAAGTGCTAGAAAAAAACATTTAGTAGCATCAACAGCCCAAAATGTTTTAGCACCTCAATGCTACCGTTTGACAAAAAGACCGCACCTAAAGCAAAGCTTCTCTCAGCCACTGTCGCAAGGTTTATTTTAATTTGTTGAAAGGCATTTCCTGCTTCAGCTGCAACTTGAGCCCATTGTCCCAATAAAACTAAAATAAGAAGGTGACATAAAGAGCGGGGTCGAAACGGCCCCAACAGCCGCAGCGTAGCGCGCCGGTGCCGGTGGGAGGGAACATCTGCTGCGATTAGGCCTGGGTGTAACACAGGACCACTTTGGCCTCACAAATGGAGTGTGGGATGGCGCTAATGAGCGGCTCCCCGTCCAGCCGGCTCCGCCCGACAAAATGTCGGAAGAGAAATCTGTTGTGTTGTTTCACAGTTTGCGAAGATCGTGTCAATAAACGTTTGGAATTAAACGCCGCGGAAATGCGATAATTAATTCTACATTGGAGGGAAAGCGTCAATCGCTACGGCTGCCAGGGAAAAACCACCGTGCTGGAATATTCATTAGATGTCCTCGTCGGCGTCGTAGAGCCGACGATGTAATGAATTTATTATAAATCACGATCCAGCAATCAACTAATATTGTGAGCAGTTTTCAAAAGGGGGCCTCCATCCAGAAAGAGTTATTTTTGAATTAAAGCGAGAATTAGTTTTAATTTGCTTCTTGCTTCAGTAATTAATATCTGTAACTGTCAGTAAAATAATTTGCGTAGCCTGTTTTCCGTAGATTGCCCCTGTTAGAAATAATTGGCCTTAATTTCCGAACACTAGATTTTAGGTTGATGATTATACGGGCGGGGGGATGGGTGTGTTACTAAAACTGATGAAAATTGCCTTAGCAAAATAAACGAGTGACAGTACATATTATCGCATTAAATTGTTAATATCAAGAAGATATGATATCTGCTAGCAGTACATCTGTACATAGTTTGCTATCAGATTGAGCCCACCAGCTTGTGCTGCCTCCTGATAACTGGGTATTCATTTGAATTTACCCCTATTGTCTCCATGTTTCTTTTATGGAGGCAAATACGCTTCATGCAGCCAAGCTCCTAGAGAATTGCGGGTTTTTTTTTAGTGATGGAGGGAGCAGACTTCCTGACCTGGCAGAAAGCATGTTCCCACAGACAGAGGTGGGGCATCTGTATGGTAGGAAGCAAAAAAGAAAAGACATCAAATCAACAAACATCATCAATATGAAGACAGACATTGGTTTTGCAACGACCTAAAGAATTAGCCGACTGTTAAAGAGGTTTGTGTATTGCACATTATGGGCTGTTTGAGCATTGTATGTGTTTTTGCCTGTGGAAGTTATATAACACCCTGATCTAGTGTGAAGGATGTGTATAGGTTCTGGCAAAGCCTAAATAATGAATTCGGCAGAATATTCAATCTGTTGAATTTCACAGCACCACCTGCTGTTGTTCACAGGTATTTAACATACAATGCTCTTGTCAAACAGATGGTCGACACATTATTGACCTATATGCTGAAGTGGTGTATTCGCAATCAACGCTGCATTTAAATACATTCTAATTTTTGTACACTAATATCGCATTTTTTCCCATCAAATGGGATAAATTAAATTCCATGCTGGGGAGGTGGAATTTTTTTTTCAATGACTCTGGGATTCACAACCTACAAAAAAAAATGAAAGGGCTACATTTCATTACAAGATGTCTTTATTGTCAAATGTTCAGAAGCCTTAAAAACACTTAAATTTACTAAAGTCATCACTTGAGATATTATGCGACGTTCCCTAAATTTCAGCATTAAATTCAGAGTTGTCCCTTTGGTGCTAATTACGAGTTTCATCCGTCAGTCACATGGTGAAAATAAATATTCAGAGCAGCAGAACACTCTGGACAGCCCAGCGATGATTAAACTCTCCTGCGATGGAGCCACCTTTACATGTGATGCTTGCCGGCGGTAAACGACCCTCTTAAACTTGTCCCTCATCTCTTCGGCCGGTTCTTAAGGGTCTGTTTGAATTTCTCCTCTTCTCGCTGTCCTCTAAAGATTCTAAGGGGGGAATAAATAAAAAATAAAGTGATATAAAAAAAAAAACCTTCAGCTCTGTCAAAAGAGTTCATCTTGATCAACATCAAACTGCATGGCACTCCCACACATTAATGTCTTCTCTGGCTGATAGTTCCTCACACTTTGGCAAGTCAATCCCTGCCCTTCTTCATAATTTATCCCCGGTTCGTCACTTCGGGGCGGCCTGCTCGCACGCCAGCGTCCATCTTCCGTTAGTGCCGGCATCTCTCAGACCCCCCTCCAGGTGTGTTCCTCTGCTATTTAACCAGTGCTACATTTGGGCCAGAGGAATGTGAACCGTATGTTTGGAAATTGCCCTTGTGTGTGCTCTCACTGTCAGGCCCGGAGAGGCCAACTATCCGTAGAAAGTATCCTTGCTGCTTTTTAAAGGAGCGAGTGAGCCTTGGAGGGAGAACCAGCCTGGATGTATTTTAACAGTCAACAGTATCACATGGTGTGGCAGGAGAGAACTCTTCAGTGTCACGCTTAACAACGTTAAGCGATGTTTCTAACAGACAGGTGCATGTGGATTTGTATCTTTACCTTGTGTAGTTGGCAGTTGTGTCTAGACTCAGTCAAGGCCTTTTGGAGCACCATACGAGCCATGTGGCATAGTGAGGAATCGCAAATACCCGGCAGAACACAGAGCCAGGTATGGGCAGACGGCAGAGTAACAGAGATCCCCCCACCCCAGAAAAGAATAAGCGCGGCCTGTTAAACACTGCAGACCCGCACTAATTTTCCATACCTCTGCACCGATTCGCTGAGCTAAGTCAAGTCCATTCTGCCTCATTTGTGTTGGGTGGGGGTGATAGAATAAATGCATTAAATGAGTCTCTGTTTGTTGCCCGTGGGGGGGGGGGGGGGGGGGGGGGGGGGGGGGGGGGGGATGTGTGGCGTGAGGCTAAGGGGACATAGAGGGGCCTCACAGATGAGGCCGGGCTCGGTTCACCCCCAGCCCCCATCCCCGTGGTCTGTCACAGAGAGTATGGCCGGGGGTGTGTGAATCTGCATGTGTGTGTGAGTGTTGGGGGGGGGCTCTGCCAGACCCACCATTAATCACGCTCTCACTGTGAGCGTGACACCCACACACCAAAACACACACGTTGGCACGGAAACATACATCTGGCTCGGCATGTGCGGGGTGATGCATAAACAGATGCACTCTATTTATAGACCGAGGAAATTCCTTCTCCGAGGCCCGCCAGCCTGCCCGCGCCGTCCGCGCTGCCGTGGGCTCGTTTTGGCAAACGCCTTCTCCTTCGTTCTCGCCGATCACAAGTGATCCTTGTCAAATCGCAAGCTGTGGACAAAGGAGGAAAAGGCAGCGACACAACACAGAAAATAATGAAAATAACATCAGATACCTTTTATTATTGGCTGACTGACCTTATAGCCTCCATTGGAAGTAATTAAGTTGCCGGCATGGAAACTAAAATACAGTTGAAAGGGGAAGGAATAAGTAATTTCATTAATTTCCATGAAAACATTGAGCTCATTTCCTCATTATACATAATACTCATTGTTAACAGGTTCCTCTTCACTAGATGTTTATTTTCATCATTAAAATCTCTCATCACTTGGAGGTTGAGTTCTATAGGTGTTTTACTTAATATATTCACTCAGTGATGTCAGGTCTTATAAAATATTGTGGGAACACTGTAAGAAGATTTTAAGAAGTTAATTTGCTGAACTGTTCATTGAGCATTCCTAATACGGCAGTAAAGAATGAGACACGTGTAGCAGGCATACTATATTAAATATGTTTCGTAAATGGTGTATTTTAAAAAGCTAGTTTTGAGAAGAAGAGCGATGTAAGGGCAGTCGACACGGTCCAGATTTGATGAGGTCACCTGAACTGTGTAAGCGCCTGGTCAAAGTGATGCTCGAGGTTCTCCGGTGGAAGCTGACCAGATCCCCGAGGATGTAATGCTGGCTTTGTGACGAGCGAAATGACACAACGCTAGAAGAGAAGGGAGAGCCAGCAAAACTGCACAGCTCAACGCAAACCGCCAACTCCAGCCTGACAGGCTTATTTTGCTGCATTTTTAAAAAACATCAATAGGTAATTGAAACGGCGCGTTCACACACAAGATTTGCATCTATTTTGTGAAC